CTCATCTGACATCCCACATATTGTACTTGCTTATGAGTCTATTTGTAAGCACAATATAAGCACTAGAGTATAACTACAATGAGGGGAGAAACTTTATTTATTCACTCCCTATCCCCAGTGTTCTGGAAAAATACCTGGCACATTACGTAGACACTCAGTATTTGTTAAAAGAATGAATAGATATCAAGTTATGTTAGTGATGAACTCAACTCCAAATTAGGCTTAAGACAAGACTGCACCTTCTGAAAGGTGTTTTAGGGTACTGGAAGTACAAAGATAGGGCTAGGCAGTCATTCACATGGTCGGAGATTAGCAGAAAAATCCAACCCACCCATTGGTTCAATGTAAGCAGAAAGGCATGCTGCAATATCTGCTTCTTGTCACAGTCAACTTCTCAACATTTGAAAGCTCTACTACTATAAAAAATTAAGATGGAAAATCTCTTTCAGTATAACCTGCAAAGGCCCTCATGAGACATTTAGAAGAGCTGCAAGTCCAATATGAACAATATTAGAACTGCAATTAAATCTTGGGGGCGTGGCTTCATCTGGAGATTATGCAGAGCCTAAAATTTTACCCAAAGCAGAAAGATAAAGGACACTGCCTCCATTTAACAACAGGAAATACATGACCTCAGCAATGCAATAGCAAAACAAGGGGCTAAATGTGGGACTTCGGCTGAATTGAGAAATGCAGTGATTTAATAATTCTGCTTATGATTCTACTCATCTGGTTGACAAAAGTAAAATTAGTTTTAAATGAGGTGCTGTGCTTCTGTCATTGAAGTTTATATATATATGCACATGTAGGTATAAGAATTCATTTAGTATTATTTACATTGAAGAGCAATCACTTGCCAATTTGGTCAGTCACATTCCACTATAAATTCATGAATCAGGGCTGTGTTTACACTACTATTATGAAAGGCAGAGTTCAGGCTCTGCTCCTGGATTATTGATCAGGAGCTGAAAATGAGAATACACATGGAACCTTGATAGGCAACTATGAAATTTAGGCCAAATGGGAAAACCGAAAGCATATGTATTAATACTTTCTGACCAGCACCAGTTACATAAACAATTGCTTATCAAATAAACAACTAATGAATAAAAATCTTTTCTTCTTTTCCACCAAGATCTACATCTCACAACTCCATCGGTAGAGACTCCTGGGCTGGGGATGGGCTTAGGGACTCAGGACAGCAAGCTCCCTGCACTAGCTACAGAGGCTGAGCTGGTGGTGACTGGTGATGAGACTAAGGTTTTAAAAGTCAGAGTGCTGCAATCCTCATTAAAACACCTAAATGTCTTCCCAGAGCTATGAGAATGAAGACCACCAGTTTTAACAGGACTAAGAAGGCTTTAAATTATTCAGTGGTCTGTCCTCTCATCTTGCAGCAAATCTTCCCGTGTTCTCTGGCCTTCAGCTACACTGGCCTTCTGCTTTCTTCTTCTTCCACAAGCCCCTGGCATATGCTGTTTACTGTGCCTGAAATGTTCTCCTCCCACTCTCTCGCCAGTTGAACCTCAACTCAAGAATTTTCCTAAGGGCAGCCCGTTCTACCATATGCTCTCATAGTATCATAGAACCTCCTTTCTAGTGCTTATCTCATCTGTGAGTCGGCGTTGATCTGTGAGATGTTTGGGTACATGTCAGTCTCCCCGACCAGACAGTAAGTACCCAAAGGAAGGGGTCGTATCAGTTTTTCCCCTCAATCTATCCCAGAACTTAGTACAACTCTGTGGATACACAGTAAGTTTTGCATTTTGTTTCTTATTTTAGAGACAGGGTCTCACTGTCACCCAGGCTGGAGGGCAGTGGCACAATCACAGCTCACGGAAACCTCAAACTCATGGACTCAAGCGATCCTCCCACCTCAGCCTCTCAAGTAGCTAAGATTACAGGCACACACCACCATGCCCAGCTACATTTTTAAATGTTTTGTAGAGATGGGGTCTTGCTATGCTGCCCAGGCTGGTGTCAAACTCCTGGCCTCAAGTGATCCTCCTGCCTTGGCCTTCCAAAGTTCTGAGGTTACAGGCATGAACCACCATGCTTAGCCTATAGTAAATTCTTAAGCATTAGAGGAAGAAAGGAAAGAAGGAAGGAAGGAATGAAAAGTTTAACTCAAGTATTCAGAGTTCTGGTGTGGAATGGAAAAGAGTTCAAGTTTTAGGAAAAAAGATCACATGGTAAACACAAATGCAAACCATTAACGGGGACAGCTAATTATAGCACAGCTAATTAGAATCAAAGCAAATGTATCACTGTATCTTCCTCAGTGCCTAAGGCACCACTTTTGCTACTTCTGTTGAAAATGTGTGTGTGTGTGTGTGTGTGTGTGTGTGCGCACACGCGCACAACTGTTTTGAACTATTTGTTCAACTATTACTTGAAACTAAACCTTTCAAGTAACAGCACAGCTTTCCAGAAAGAACAGTTGTTTTACCTAATTCTACTTGTCTGTGGTAGATGCTTCTTATGCGTCTTCTCTCTTTTTAAGTGTTTTGCTCTCCATCTCTCTTCCTTCCTGTAGGTCTTACTATCTTATTTGGTTTTGGATATTTATCACATGAAGAACAACAGTTGGTTTCAATCCTAATTATATGCCCCACCTAGAATCTTACATCTTTCATGCTAAGTCATTTCCTTATTTTCTCAATGGTTAGAAGTTACTGGGAACTTTTCTTAGAATGATACAAGATTTCATTTTTTCATTTTGGAAGAGGGATCCATTGGTATTACACCACTCTATCAGAAAATGGGGCACGCAGAAGAAACAAACCTTTGATAAGTACACTATAGTACCTACCTAGGCACTGTCCATTCCAGCCTTGGAATCCTTCTGTGCAAGGAACACACTGGTAAGATCCAGGAGAATTCACACACTGCTCATCTGGACAAGTACTTGGATTCAAACATTCATCAATATCTGAAAAATCAAAAAGCTAGGTCGTGAACATTTTATCATAATACTAAAGCAAAATATTTTGTGATGAAGGGGGAAAAAAGCATATTCTTTCTACATTCCAGTGGGAAAAACAACAATTGGGTAAGTGAGACATTGGGTCTATATTTAAATACATGGCAATAATGCATGGTCAAGCATACCTGAATTAAAATATTTGCACACATTCCAAGGAAGAACCTGGCCCCAGTTCTTCAACTAGCTGGATCTTGCTTTGTCACTCTGGGAGCTGGCACCTTCTTTAGGGCCAATATCTGGACATGAAACCTTTCAAGTAATAACACAGCTTTCCAAAAAGAAATACAAGGGATTGGGATGAGGGTGAGGGAGCCATATATCCACTCAGCTTAGAGGTTCTCTCTGCAGACATTGCATGCTCTAGGGAAATCCTCACTTTGGTTTCATGAGCCCAAGAACATCCTAGGTTTGAATAATTTAAAACCTTTCATATGACAGGAATTCCTTGGAGGTGGAAAAAAAAAAACACTAGGAGCAAGTGAACTCATCACATACTTCCCAGTCTTTCCAGAAAACATGGTGATATGACCATATGGTAATATTTTCTGGTAAAAATACACCTTACTTTTCATATTCACAGCTAACTGAAGTTATTCATCATCATTCTTTCCAATTTGAGGAGAAAAAAAATCACCTAAAATATGGTTAAGTCTGTTGCAGAGATAACTACTACGACAGCTTTAGGCATTTTTAAGAATTGTTGAAACAACAAAACGAGGAAAAAGATACAGGAGAGAGTTCAACAGTTTAAGATTAGTGGCAACACTGTGGCTTCTAGCTGCGTTTGAAATAAGTGTTCTGTGTGTGTGGAGGTGGATTTTGAATTTAGATGAGTGGATTTAAGGTTTAAGTGTCCTAATACACAATGTATATATGACTTTTAATCGTACTTAAAATATAAACAGATCTTCAGGACATAAACTAGAGAAAGAAAGAAAGAAATGTATAATGGGTCCACTAAATATCCATGGGTATTTGATGTCTACATTCTAGTAAATACTTAAAAATCATCTCCCATTGCATATCGTTAGGCATGTGAAAAGATGCTTAAAGTGAAAAAGCTGAGGATGATATTAACAAAATAAGCACCAGGTCAGTGTTATAATTTTTTTTCTATCAGTAAAAATTCTTGCCAATAGCCAATGACACATAGTGGTTTTTTAGGTCAGATGTTCTGGGACTTCTTGTTCTACAAAAAGATGATGCTTGCCAGTTTCGTTTTCCAAATAGCATCACATTCTCCTCTGGATGGGATATTTTCAAAAAATAGAAATACAATTGCTAAATCAGAGAATGCCATTGAGACAGGCTGGTCTAATAAATAAGGTGCAATGTTGAGCAATAGAAGATAACGTCCCTGAATTTCTAGCTGCTCTTACCTCTGCTTTGCCCTCTTATATAAATTGGGAACTACCTGCCTTGTAATATCTTAACAGAATAAAATAAGGATGCATGAGATAATGTCTGTAAACTACAATAGACTCCTTGGAGACCGGTGTTATTTGAAAGCAACTTCGTTAGTGACAGCTGAGAAAATCTTCAGTGAGCCAGAAGCCCAAGGACGTTTGGTTCTAGTCCATGATGAAATTTGAAAACAGCCACGTTGCTTGGCTCCTTCTTTTCAAGCCTTTTCATGGGGATAGAATTATATATTATTTATCCTGGGAACCCCAGTTCTCTTTCTGCTAAATAATTTTAATATCTTGAATATTACCTAATATTCTCCTATAAGCTTTCAATTTAAGTACATAATTTTCCAATTTCTTTTCTATACCTTTTCATTCTATTACTTAAGTATCTTATCTTCCCATTCTTGATCTATCTAAGCCAGGCGTCCCCAAACTTTTTACACAGGGGGCCAGTTCACTGTCCCTCAGACCGTTGGAGGGCTGCCACATACTGTGCTCCTCTCACTGACCACCAATGAAAGAGGTGCCCCTTCCTGAAGTGCGGTGGGCGGGGGGGGGGGAAGGCGGATAAATGGCCTCAGGGGGCCACATGCGGCCCATGGGCCATAGTTTGGGGACGCCTGATCTAAGCACTTAAGAATCAGTCCTTGCGCAGGGGCCATGCTAATCTTCTCTGTATCGTTCCAATTTTAGTATATGTGCTGCCGAAGCGAGCGCGGTGGCTCAAGCCTGTAATCCCAGCACTTTGGGAGGCTGAGGCGGGTGGATCACGAGGTCAAGAGATCGAGACCATCCTGGTCAACATGGTGAAACCCCGTCTCTACTAAAAATACTAAAAATTAGCTGGGCATGGTGGCACATGCCTGTAATCCCAGCTACTCAGGAGGCTGAGGCAGGAGAATTGCCTGAACCCAGGAGGCGGAGGTTGCAGTGAGCCAAGATCGTGCCATTGCACTCCAGCCTGGGCAACAAGAGCGAAACTCCGTCTCAAAAAAAAAAAAAAAAAAAAGAATCAGTCCTTGACTTCTTTGGTGGGGGCTGGAGGATACTGCTCTGCACATAAATGCCTGGCAAATAAACATATCCCCTGTTTTTTTTAAAGCACTCCCCACAACTACAGAGGTATTGAGATCTATACAATCACAAAAGGAGTCAAGGATGGGCAAGATTTAAAGAAACTATAACTTAACTAACAAAGTAACAGCCATCATACAAGTTATAGCAACATGAAATTATTTCCATGAAAACCCAGAAAGTTAACTTCATTCATGGCTCCCATTTTACAGGTGATGTATCACATTTCAAAGGGGCACAGTAAGGGGCTGCGAGTCAGGCAGTTACAAAGTGTGGGGGTGGTGAGCTGACCCCACCGTCCTTGCTCTTCCCCATCCCGCGCTGCCTCTGCAGCAGAGGAGGGTTCCCTGGAAGAGAAGAGTGGAGACACTTTACACGTGTGCTTGTCTGTAGCCTCTAAAGGCTCCATTCTGATCCAAGCTGATCAGAGACCCAGCAACATAAAACACTCCCACTTGACTCTAGATTAGAACCCAAGGGGCCGAGGCAATACGCCAGCAGGAGAGGCAAGCGTAGGCTGTCAAAAAAGGTCTAATTAGCTCTCCCTCCAGGCCTGGGTCATTACAGCACTGAAGAAAACCAACATGCAGAAGCCAGGGGACGGCTGAGGGCTGGCTGTGCCAACCTAGTCCACCCCGCCCCAACTAATAGAGCCAGCTCTATTGGGCTCTGCTGACCGGCAGACAGGGAACCCCAAGGAACCAGCACTACGCTCATGTGCCCTCAGAGACCCCGTGCTCCTTCACTCTCATATTTCCATGGGAGGTTTTCAGCAGAAGGTCATTATATTTCTTCACAAAAATTATTGCAAAAAAGTGCCATAAAGGGTTTTTTTGTTTTGTGCTTTGGAGACAAGGTTTCGCTCTGTCACCTAGACTGGAGTGCAGTGGCACAATCTTGGCTCGCTGCAACCTCTGCCTCCCAGGTTCAAGTGATTCTTGTTCCTTGGCCTCCCAAGTAGCTGGGATTATAGGTGTGTGCCACCACATCCCACTAATTTTTGTATTTTTAGTAGTGAGGGAGTTTCAGTGTGTTGGCCAGCCTGGTCCCAAACTCCTGGCCTCAAGTGATCTGCCAGCTTCAACCTCCCAAAGCACTGGGACCACAGGCATGAACCACAGTGCCTGGCCTTGCCACGGTGGTTTCAAAAAGAACCAAAGCAACTTTGACACAAACGTGAACAGAAACATAAAAAGGATAATAACTGTGACCACGCTATAAATATTTTTATAACATTTCTATAATGAGAGAAAACTCATTGCTGTGCTCAATAATGAGGAAATTTTATCTAGCACAGTTGGAATCTGACCAAGAGTTGGTCAGATCATGGTTCTTGGGGAGTCTGTGAGAAAGTCCCAGAACACATGTGAAAGAAAGCAGCAGAGACAAAGGAATGTAAGTAGGTGAAAAGGTCAAAACAAAAAATCAACACTGGTCACACCGGTACCATGTTCCCAGATGAATAGTCTGGACTCTGTCATTAAGTCTGGGTTTGTATTAAATATGATGCAATTAATTGTTCTACGGTGATGTTACTCCAAATACCAGAAAGGGAGATACTGAGGTGAAAAATAATGAGAGCACGAAGACGGAAAATAATCCCAACAGAGTCACTGAAAGGTGGAGGCAGAGAGCCTGTGAATCCAGGAAGCAGAAAGAGCTCGGATAAACTGGTGTCGTGCACGGAGTGTGGAGGGAAGCAAGAACCACGCCAGGTGCCTACCAAGCCCACACATCACGGTCACGTGTGCTCAGCACTCTCAGCAGACTCACCCTCACACTGGCCTCTCCGGGTCATGCGGTACCCACTGTCGCAGTATTCACATCGGAACGCCCCCACCGTATTGACACAGTGCCCTTCCCCACAGATGGCCGGCCTCAGGCACTCGTCAACATCTACGAGGAGCAGAAAGCATTGTTCAGTTTTGTTTTCCAAAATTGTTTCAAACCCTTCCCACCTCCCAGCTTAGCTCAAATACAGTAATGAAGTAACTGATTTCTACTTTCCTTTTGATTTGATACACATCAAAATCACCCAGTTTTGATTCATGCACGATGGTCCAAAAGTAACATTTAATGCATCTTGTCTGTGCACATATTTGATGCTCTTTCTTCAAAAATGTTAGGAAAAAAATCCATTTTTATATCACCCGAGATCTAGCACAGTGCTGTCATGATGTTTAATAAAAATTTCTGGGTTGTCTGAATAAGCACTGAACAGATAGTCTTAGAGGAGCTAAAAACCCAGATCTAAGAATTTATAATCAGGAAGAACACTGCCATTACCTATGCAGTCAGTGCCCTCCTCACTGGCCATAAATCCTGCTGGGCAAATGCATAAGAAACTTCCCTCGGTGTTTTCACAGCGGCCCTGGGAGCAGAGGTGTTGGACCTGAGTACACTCATCAATATCTGTAACAAAAATACAAAAATACATATAAAAAAATTAGTTCTGTGTAGCAAGAACTTAGTTTCCCTGTTCCATTCCATAAAATACCATTGTATTATGCCCTGGGTACCTACCACCTAACCTTTAAAACTGAGGCCAATAGTAAAAGGAGACACAATCTTTCTCCTCAAATACTTGAAGGATTGTGACTGGAAGAGGGAAGAGCCTACTGTGTATAGCTTCAAAGGCTAAAACTACAAAACCATAACACTGGTGCTTCAAAGAGACAGATTTCAGTTCAACACAGAAGGATTCTCCTGATAACAAGCGACATCCAAGCAACGGAATTTGCTGTCAGTAGGGAGTCAGAAATGCCACAAAAGAGACTATTCCTCCATGCACAAAGGGTAGAGTTGGATTAGATCATCTCTGTTGACTTTTCAACTTCATATTTTAGGTTCTAAATGTAATGCATACAATATATGCAAATGACAAGGAAATAGCCATATTACGGAGCAGGTGGCTGTCTCCTTCCCCCACCATACACATAAACCAAACAGCAAAATTCATATTCTAAAGTTGCATTAATTAGATCGGTGCCTTTGTAATGCTTATATTGGCCTTATAATTCAGTGTTGAATTTTTTTCTTAAAAAAAAGAGAAAAATTAAATTTAGAGTTACATTAACATGATTTACTTAACTCTATTGCATATCTTTTTCAGACACATTTTTTTTCCCCAAAAGGAGCATATATGAGATCCCTAAATTTCTAAATTGACTGACACCTTCAGGCCAGCATATATGGATTTTCAATTTAAAAATCCCTTTAAAAAATCAAATCTTATGTGCGCAAATTAATGTAATTCTTCAATGCAGTATATATTAATGTTAATTTCTTTTTGCTAAATACATGTTTTTACATAGCTGTTTCTGGAATTCATGTTTTGTTTACTTTATCCAAAAAGCTTTTGGAAATTATTTCACCTTTATGTAAATGTATTACATTTGGTGAGGTAAACAAATATTGAACAAAGAGGTAAGAGAATTCCAGTTGTTAAGCAAACCTTTTTTTGAGCTCCCTTAGCTAAGGGATAAACATTTCAAAAAATTAAACCAGTAACATTTTCCCAAAATGGTTAAGTTGGTCTAAGAAAAAAATGTTCTAAATGTACAAATGTTTGATATGCAATAATTTAGTCAATCAAAATTTTCTCTTACCAACACATTTCCTCTGTTGTTCACTGAACTTGTAACCCTCGTAGCATATACAGGTATATCTCACTGGTAGGTTAATGCAGTGTCCTGCTCCACAGATATCAGGGTTCACAGTACATTCATTGATTTCTTTAAAAGTAAGTAAAGTAATGTGAAAAAACCCACAGAAATGAACAGATTTCACTCCTACTTGCAAAGCATTACTTTGTTTCCTGACCAACTAGCAAATTATTGCCAGCTCTGCACTTAGAAGACAAAGGTGACCTCTGACATCAAGCATAAATTCATGTGATTACTTTATAATGGATTAGTTAGTCCCATCCAAGGTCATCAATAGTTCTTTGTGAAACCATTTTTAAGATGAACCAAAGTGAGTAGAAACTCAGAAAAAGGCTATGTTGTAAATTGTAAGAAAATCAATTATTAATAAAATAGCTTCCAAAATGGCCTATTAATGATTTTCTGTTCACCCTAGTTCATCTTAGATGATGGAGTTATAATCACCAACAGATAAGAGGGTTCTTATCTATTGATAAGAAACACATGGTAACTTTCCATTCTTTAGCAGGCCATATTTGAGTTTCAACAATTACATCCAATCTCCTCCAAAATTTCTCATGAATCCCTGAAAAGACCTCCCACTTCTAAAAAAAAAAAAACTCTAGGTGTATCTTACTCTTCATTTACCAATTTTGACATGATCATCTTTTATTTCTAGTGGTAAAGTAGCATCTTTTCCCAAATCTTTTCTGTTAAATTCGTTCCTTACTCTCCACTGACCTCTGTGTAAGGCTGACTTCTATACAACCTGTGCAGATTAGTCCTGTTCAAGTCCCTAGTCTACTCACAGACGCACCCTACAGTGGAGGTAGGGTCTTAGGAGTCCATGGTTAGGTGGAAGCCATAAAAAAAAAACCCAAGGACTCAAAAGGGGTCTTCTGACATTAATTACTCCCTTAAGATTTTCTATTTCCAATGACCTTTGTAAGGAGGTATAATGGCACAGTGGAGGTGGTACAGCTGGTGGTTAGAAGCACT